TATACTGTCTGTCGTGTGATATTGATTATGTCAACTTTTCCTTCCTAGACTGTTCATGACCCATGGCCAGGCTGCCCAGAGACCTGACAGCAACAGGATCTCTGAGTTTGTTTCCCTCAGGCTCTTAAAGGAGTACCAGTGTGCCCGAAATAGGCCAAAAGACTGCAAGGGTAAAACCTTACCCATACCCCAGTCTATTGTTCAGGCATACCAGCACATCAAGCAGCTGCTGGAGGACAGCATGGTTATTCAGAACCAAACCACCTTGGTGCTGGTAACTGTAAACAACACCACAGTATCTTCTTGGTGAGCTACATTTTAGACTTCCTCTGCTCAATTTATGAAATGCAATTCTGAAAGGGGGTGCAGCTTCCCCAGACAGTCTCTGTGGCGCAGGACTCCTTGCCGGCGGCAAGAGAGCTCCCCACTGCACATGTGGAACGTGGACATACACCCATGATGTTTCACGAGCCAGATAATCGGGAGGGCGAGTCAGTGATCCGCAGATGCCAGAGTGTCAAAGCTGGCTCAGCAATTCCTCCTGGATCACATGCATGGCCAGGTCCTTCTGCTCCACCCTCATACCAGCAGGGTCATCTGCCACAGCCCTCAACTACCTGGTCACCGTATGAGCAGCACACACTACCGCCACCCCAGTCAGCTGGGCCTTCCTCATACCAGCAGGGTGGCACATCATCAGCCCCATATCCTGGCTGGACCTGGCAAGGTCCATAACATTACGGTATACCCCCATTTCCAGTGTCCAAGCCAACAGCAACAGTAACAGCAGCAGAAGCAGCAGCAGCTCAATCTTCCGAACACTTAAGTCGTCACCGAAAGTGGAGACACCAAAAGGCTGCTCTTGAAGACCAAGAGCGTGTGGAGCCACCAAAAAAGAGGCACTGCAAAGACGGATACCAATATATCTGCAAGGCATGTGGTCAGTCCAAAACCAAAAGCACTGGCCACACCCAGATAAAAGGAAAGTGGTACTGTCCAGCATCTGGACCTCAGAATGGAGAGATGCTCTAAACAAACCATAACAATTGTCTATATGCCCCTGTACCTTTTTCACATTCACATAGACGTATGTTTAAATAGTTAAGTATTATCAGTAACAGATGCTCTTGAAAACCAGTCAAACTCATCTGTCCACCCCTGTACCTCTTTATGGACCTTTTTTCGTGCACTTCTTGAATGCACCTTTTTTGAAGCATCTTTGGAATTTACCTTTTTTATGCACCTTTGGAATATATGTTTTTTATACACTTCTTGAATGTACTTTTTTATGGACCTTCTTTATGCACCTTCTTATGCACATCTGTATAAAATATTTGGTAAATCAGTAAATAAACAGATTATGTGCATCAAAGGCGTGCCTGTCATTTTTATAATTTCCATGCATTATATCTATGGAAAGTTAACACTTTTGGCAATCATGTTGAAGTCAGGGTAAACATGTTGGAAAACATCAGTTTATTGGCATTACAAGTGTGAAGTGAGCCCCCTTTCTCTCTCTCCTTCTCTTTCCCCCCTTTTCCTTTCTTTCCCCCTGCCGTACCAGTCCCTTTTGCCCCATTTTTGTCCAAGTGTTTAAGGCGATGGACTAGAAATCCATTGGGGTCTCCCCGCGCAGGTTCGAATCCTGCCGACAACGAAAAACTCTTTGGGCAGCCGTGGACTGACAGCTGGTGGGGTGGCAGCTCATATCCTTGCCACGACCGAGGTGCCCTTGAGCACCGCCCCCCAACATCTGCTCCCCGGAAATCCTCTATCTAATGAGAGTTGGGCGAGCGTAGAGCAGGTCCCCTGAATTGTGACACAGCTACAGAATGTCTCTAATTACTTCCCTGTCTGCCTCATGCTGTGAAAAAATATGTTTTTATTGTCATCATTTTATACTATGGGTGGCTTAGTTAACTTAACACTGTACCCCACCATGAAATATTTTTCTCATTGTGACTAAAAACGCACAGCTCAGAAATCCAATAACAAGTACAATAAATGTATGATCATTTATGTACTCGAAACTCTGTCTGATTTATAGATAAATCAACGGGTGACTGTTGATTTATTCACTAATTGGTGCAATTCACACTAAAGGATAATCGTGCCAACTTTAGACCCGATTTTTCCCTTTCGATAATTGCGGGGGCGTTCCCAACTGGAGGTCAGTCAGAGCAGATTATTTGCCCAAATAATCAGGAAGTTTGAGGGGTTTGAAAGGATTGAAAGTGGAAACCAAATCAGAACAATGAGCTGCAAAAGACATTTCAAAGATGATGTATAGTGATGATCAGTATCTGTGGGCCTGTAACAGCAACTCCAGGGTAGCATGAATCATTGTTCACACAACATGAATGAATTATTAGTGGAAAATGAAATAAAAAAAATAAAAATAAAACAAATTGCAGTGCTTCTGTTTGAATTGTGTGTCATTTTTCCTTTTGAGCACTGAGGTAATGCAGTTTGTGTTATAGCAGTGGATAGAATGTACATTGAGGGTCAGTTCACTGGAAGGTTACATTATAACAGGTCAAAGCAAGAGCAGAACCCTCCATCTTATGAAGACTTGTGCGATATTTGATGTTTGCATACTTTGCTTTAATATCATGCAGTGTGCATATAGATAACCCACTTCCCAGTGAGGATGTGCGTGAAGTGAGAAATGTCTGAGGTTATTACCACACATGGCTGTTTGCCTTCCTGTGCAAATGGAAACATCTTTCCAGGGAGATTACGCAAGCATGGTTGGGAGATGCATGAGGAACCAGACAGGAAGAAAATCTCTTACTTTAGCGCACTTCTGATTTGACCAAACTGCTAAGCTGTAACAATTATAATATTTAAATTACATTATATCTAGATTGGGCACAGCCTCACTTTAGGTCCACACTGATGATGAATAGGTGAATGAGCACCAGACATACAATGAATCTGTCTGCCCACTTTATAGCTTTTCTTGGAACTGGTTAGATCTTACTCAGAAGTACGGATGGGAAATTAGACCAAATGACATATTTCAGGTCTTGCATGTGAATGTGTGGTCAAGTTTTACTGGGAAGAACTGGAATAATTATTAATAAGTAATTTAGAGTAGTGTAGAGAAATAGACTTTATTATCAATCTTACTTTGATGCATCAGTTCATCAACTTCACTCCCCACCTTATCCCA